CTTTACCACAGCCATAACAGGAGCCAGTGCTGAGGGTGATGGTGGTGGAGGAGAAGTTGTGGATCCTTACTGACTGCAGTCTGTTTGTTAAGAAGTCTAAGACCCAGTTGCAAATGGAGGGGCTTAGTCCTAGTGTGAGTAGTTTGTCCATCAGGGTTTGGGAGATCATGATATTGAAGGCAGACGTGAAGTCCACAAAGAGCATACGGACGTAGGAGTCCTGCTCCAGGTGGGTGAGAGTAATGTGGACCACTGAGGAGATGGTGTCTTCTGTAGATTGATTCTCATGGTATGCATACTAGTAATGGTCCTCGTTGATGATGTTTTTTTTTTTTTTTTCCCTTGTCCTGTCCGGCATTGACACTTAGAATTATTGTATGAGTGTCAAAGTGATGCCCAACAGATTTACTTTCACAAGCAGAGCATTATGGCTGGCCTTAATGCTCCACTTGATATATAAATTAAATTTTATTAGAATTTGCTTTGGGTTTGTTCCAGATGTAATGGACACGGGAACGAAAAACAAAGAAGATAACAAAGCAGAAAAGTGAGAGAAGGGTTAAAATGTAAAGAAGGAGATAGGAATAGATGAGAGAGAGAGGGATAAAGAGAACACAAATCAACACCATTAAAGTCTGCCTCTAGACCTGCAGAAAGAGAAGAAAAAAAAACAATAAAACCGAGAAACCACAACAACAAACAACTTATATATTGATACTTATAACTTCATTAGAAAGTATTTTATACAGTACATGGTAATACAAGATATATTTCGTGGCCATCACAACCCAACTGAGTGTGTATCTGATAAACACCTGAATCTAAACACCTGTGTGAGCATGCTTATCACTATAAGGTTTCTCCATAAAAATGTTCAATAGTGGATGTGGGGACCCATAAACCCGTCCCCACAGGACACGAAGGTAACACAGGGAAGACCGGAACCACAGACACACAGCGGCTCCCGAGCCCGGAACTCCGGGAGTCGCCCAACAGGGACACCCGCACCTCCCAGAGACAGAAGCAAAGGTAAGCCCTGGGCGATCCCCAGCAACCACAATGCAGAAACCCCAGGAGGTTGTAGCGACGATTCCACAGGCCCCACCGGCCCCACCGGCAACCCGCCCCTCCAGAGTGGATCCGGCCATGGACACCAAGCCCCGAGTCCCGAGGTCATACCACCCCCCCAACAGAGGCCCTACAGAGCCAGGGCACCCAGGCCCACGCAGGAAGCCACCAGAGCGGGCCCGCACACACCCCACCACCCAGCCCCAGCTCCTGAGAGCTGCCAATGCACCGGCGGCAGGAGGGCCCACCACCGGAGGTCTAGATTGATTGATAGATTGATTCTCGTGGTATGCATACTGTTAATGGTCCTTGTTGATGATGGTTGTTTTGATGTGGGTCATGACCAGTTTTTAGAAGCATTTAGCAACTATTGGGGTGAGGGCTACTGGCCGATAGTCATTCAGACCAGTCACTGTAGAAATCTTTTGGATTGGGATGATGGTTGCAGTCTTCAGGCAGGTGGGAACTGTTGCCAGGGTAAGTGAGAAGTGAAAGATGTCGGCCAGCACCTCGCAGAGCTGATCGGCACAGTCTTTCAGCACCTTCCCGGGGATGTTGTCTGGGCTGGTTGCTTTGTGAGGATTAATCCTCCTGAAAGTACGCCTCACTTCGGCTGAGGTCACACTAAGAAGCTCTTCTTCCGGTGGTGAGGTGAGTCTGGTGCTGGATGGTCTGTTTGGGTCTTCAAAGCGTGCGTAAAGCAGTGATGGGTCTCTAGAGCATTGTACACCTCTGCCTTTATAATCTGTTATACACTTAACGCCTCTCCACATGCTTCGTGGGTCTTGTGAGGTGAATTGACCCAGGATCTTCTGTGCATATGTAGCCTTGGCCCTCTTAATACCAGCAACCACCTTTTTCGTTGTCCTTCTCAGCTCCTGTGAGTTTCTAGACCTGAAGGCAGTGTTCCTGGCTTCCAGCAGGGTGCAAACCTCTGCATTCAGCCAAGGCTTCCTGTTTGTGTAACTCTTAAAATATCTGATGGTGGTGACATCATCAGCACATTTACTAATGTACCCCAGGACTGAGGATGTGTATTGCTCTAGGTCTAGCGTCCCCTCATTTTCAGCTGCTTCTCTGAAGACCTGCCAGTCTGTGCATTCAAAACAGTCTTTCAGTATGGGGCCACTATTCTGCATCCCAAGATTTAACTTTCTTTTGTACCCGTCTGGAGCGTCTCAGTGGGGGGAGGTAAGCAGGAACCAGGAAGATGGAGATGGAGATATGATCAGATAGTCCTAGGTGGGGGTGGAGTTTGGCTTTGTATGCATCTTTTACGTTTGTGTAAACATGGTCCAGCATGTTGTTTCCATGTGTTGGTTTGGCCACATGCTGGTAAAGTCTTGGGAGGCAGTCTTTTACATTCACGTGATTAAAGTCTCCAACCACTATGTAGAGAGCATCAGGGTGTTTACTTTGCAGTGAGCTGAAAAGATCATGAAGCTCCTATAGAATGTCTGTAGCATTAGCATCCAGAGCTATATAAACAACTGTTATGAAAGCCACTGTGAACTTGCAGAGTAGATAATGTGGTTGACATTTCACTGTTGGCTGCTCCAAAGCCTTGGAGCATGAGCTTTTACCAGCGTAGTTTGTACACTAACTTGTACTCGCGTAAATGCATACTCCGCCTCCCCTCAATATCTCCTTTAGCTCGCTGTAGCGGTCTGCTCGGAAAAAGTCTGTCATCCAGCTGGAAGGCTGAGTCCAGCATGTCACTGTTGATCATGATTCTGTAGTGAACTTAATCTGGTGTCACGACTAAGCCTAAGGTCAAAACCCTTGACCTTAAGAACCTTGTGGGACAGAAACTGTCATTTCATTGATTTGAATCCAGAGATACAGGTTCACCCATCCTGAGACTCTCTTTCTTGATAATCAAGTGAAAGAACACTCTCTTTTTATTATCATTACTATTTTACAAATGTTGATAATCAAAGTGTCTTAGTTCAAACCATTTTAGATGTTGCAGTGAACTAATCAATTTTATTAACTGTGTAATGATTTTTAATTCTCATGCAAAGTTAGAATTCATGTTGAAGTCTGTTACAGATTTTTATGCATTTTCTGATTTCTGCCTTTGAATGAGCAAGTGTACGTTTCCAGGGTCAGGAGTGAAGCAGACATGCGTTGGAACAACTGTCCTGTTTATATCCTCTCAGACGTCAACAGGGGGTTTTGGCACCTGTTTCTTAAACTCGCCAAAACAAAACTCTCTCTGTCTGTGAGAACATTTCTGATCTTTCCATAACAATTCTTGCTGCATTCTAACCTTTTACGTCACAAAACACACCCCGTCTGGTCGGTTCTGGCCAATGGGAATACTCCCAGATGAACCGGGAAAACAGCTCTTTAAAATGTCGGTACTTCCTGGTCTAACCAGTTCTGTGAGAGTTCTGTGAGGGTTCTACTCGGTTCGGTTGAGTTCAGTTCTGTTCAGTTCTGTGCGGAGAAGCCCAGTTCTGGGAGCCGGGAAGATCCTGACATGACAACAGAGCTCTTCCGAGTTTCATGGGATTATAACATTTTCCACTGAGGTGAGCTGTGGGAAAACAGAATCTCGCCGCTACTCCGGACGAGTAACAGCATCCTACGGAGACGCTGAAGGGTGCGTTAAACGGAATCTCGCCTGAGACATCTCCAGGTAAAAGAGTCGATTTCACCACCTAAGTGTACTGTAAGGAAAAGCTGAAGAAAGCCCGGAGAGTGCCGTTCTGTCAACACTCCCTCAAACCCCATCTTTTACTCCCTCTAAACTTCTTTCCCATCTTTAAACTCTTCTATCAAGTAGATATTCTTCCAGATATTTTAGAAATGTCTGTGTAAAGTGCTCATCCACATCCGTGTGGGTAAAAGATCATAATTGTACAGTTTTCATAAATGTCTGTGGTGACGCAACGGAAAAATCATGGCCGTATGATTTTTCCTGATTGATCGCTTATGTTGTTATTTTCATAATTTGCCAAATTAATGTAAATGTTTGATGTTAAACTTTGATTCTGTAAATAAATGACCGCATTCATTTTGATGGGTCAAATATAAATGACGTCTCACGTTTGCATTTCATTAAATTCAATGCACGTTTTATTCAGTTCAGAAAAATGAGGAATCCGTGTTAATTGATGAATATATCTGAGCATCTGTTCATCTACAATTCCGTGAGACAAAGCACCGCACATTTCCTCATCTCCTGAAAGGCACTCACTCTCAGACAAAGCAAATCCATCCATCCAGTCCAACGAGCAGACATTCGACAGAAAGAGATATGGTATCGGGAGCTTGCCGATAATGTAATGTAGAGATTAAAAATATTAGATTTTTTGGTCAAAGGTTATGGATGTTTTTAACTACTATGGTTGAGAATGTTAACTCTGCCCATGAACCGTATTATTGGGTTAGCAGAGAGAGCTGGATGAGGAGCTGGGTGAGGCTGCAGCATGCAGCCGGCACTCCCAGGATGCCTCTGAGTCTGGGAACTCGGTTGAGAATATAAAAACAAGCATCACAAACAGCTAGTGGCAAATTCTCATGACTGCTCTTCATGCTTCATGTTTGTGCTGCTGTTTGGTGTAATGTTGTACTATCAGTGTTCAGTGTATTCTTAGTTTAGCATATTTCTTAGTTCATATCTTAGATCTTATTACTGTTTTTCTTTTACATTTTATACTTTTGTTGATGTAACTGGGACCTTGAGTACACAGTTTCGTTCCACCACATGTACCACATATGATGCGAATAAAATAAACCTTGATCCTTGATGCGTGTACTTCCTGTATATTTATGTAACCTGTCTTGAAAATCTGACCTTGCAAGTAAATAATGGTAAATCTTCTCCCGCTGTTGAGTGCGGTTCTTTTTGAGTAAGTAAGATAAAGCGAAAATATTTTTCTCCAACAAGAAAATTACTAACACATAAACTTTAACTTTTCTAGGTGATCTACGTGGCAAGAAATCCCAAAGATGTTCTTGTGTCCTTCTTCTACTTTCATACTTATGCAAACATTTTGGAAACACCAAAGAATTTTGATGACTTTTTTGAGAAATTCTTGAGAGGAAAAGGTAAGTGAATTTTCGTCTGTTACATTTTTTTGTTCAGAAAACTGTTGGCTGTTGACACTTTTGGTTGTTCCTGACAGTTTTTGGAGGTAGCTGGTTTGAGCACATTAAATCCTGGTACTCACACAAGGATGAAATGAACATACTGTTCATCACTTATGAAGAAATGATTCAGGTAAGAACTTTGTAGCCATCAAACTTGTTAGACTGTGTTCAAATCAATTTACACAGATAATTATGTTTTCCTTCAGGACCTTCTGTCTGCAGTCAGGAGGATCTCCTTGTTCCTGAACAAAAAGCTGACTGATGACCAACTTGCCAATGTGGTGAAGCATAGCACATTCACCAACATGAGGAACAATTCTCAGGCCAACTACGAGCAGGTCTCAATTAGTGCCCTGTTCAGCTGCCACCTGGGAACATTCATGAGGAAAGGTAAAGACTTTAAGATATAAACAGGTAGTCTGACCCACTTAAAACAAAAACATATAAACTCTTTAAGAGCTTTCCCAGGTCTAAAACTATAAAAAATAAATAAATAAAAAATCAGGCCACAGAATCAAAATTAGGCTTGAAATGCTGATTGTTTAGAGGAAACTGCAGAAATGGACTGAACGTTCTGTCTTTGACGGCACATGCTAATTATTGTAATGAATTTTGTTGGTCACACTGGCAGAAGCTCTGTCAGGATTTTATCAGAAAGGAGTGAACCCAACGGTGCAGGCAAGACTCAAGACCACAGGAGATACAAAATTATAGATATTTAATAATAATAAATCAAAAGGGCTGATGTGGCAGCAACTCCCACTCTGGAGATATAAGGACTGGAACACATCAGGACAGGACAGGGTAGGCCCAATGATAATGCAACAAAGGACAAGACTCACAGACAGGCTTAAATACACAGACAAGACAGGACGTGATTACAAAAAGCTGAGAACAGAAGGTGCAAATAATCAGGAATAAAGAGACACACAAGGGCGCATAGACAAGGAAGGGCCACAAGATGGTGCCATTCGTACAATACTCCCCTTCAAGGATGCCCCCTGGTGTCCCCAAAAAGCCTCCACCCCCCCCCCCCCCCTTCCCCCAAAGACCTGGGTGGGCGGAAGGAGAAACTGCAAGGATGGAGGGCCCAAGAAAAAACGTGACAAAAACAAACTGACAAAAAACAAAACCTGAGAACAATACTAAACATGAACAGGGGAACACACAAAGGTCTGGGCGGTCAGAAGACCGCCCCAAGCATGGTCATTGTTCCAGTGGGCGGCCAGCAGGCTGTCTATCATGCTAGAACAGGTCAGGCGGGCGGCTGGGAGGCTGCTAAGGCAGGATCAGGTCAGACAGGCAGCCGGGAGACCATTCATCAGGTCGGGACCGGTCAGGCAGGCAGCCGAGAGATTGTACAATGGGCCATTCTTCAAGCAGGAACAGATCGGGAAGAGCAGGAGCGAGGACCTTAGAGGGCAGAGCAGGAGCAAGAACCTCAGCAGGCGGAGCAGGAGCGAGGACCTCAGCGGATGGACCAGGAGCGAGGACCTCAGTGGATGGACCAGAAGCGAGGACCTCAGCAGACGGACCAGGGGTGAGGACCTCAGCGGACGGACCAGGGTCAAGGACCTTAGCAGGCGGGTCAGCGATGATGAGCTCAGCAGGCAGGTCAGCGGCGAGGAACTCAGCAGGTGTGTCAGTGGCGAGGAGCTCAGCAGACGGGTCAGCAGCGAGGAGCTCAGTAGACGGGTCAGCGGCGAGGAGCTCAGCAGGATCTTCTGCGGCCGGATCTTCTGCGGCCGGATCTTCTGCGGCCGGATCATCTGGGACGAGATCTTCTGTGGCCAGACATTCGGCGGCCAGACCTTTGGCAGCAGGACCTTTGGCGGTAGGATCTTCGGCGGTAGGATCAGGAACAGACGTGGATGGTAGATTAGCGGAGGCAGGGTCTTCTGCAGCCGGATCATCTGGGGCGAGATCTTCGTCAGCAGGATCTTCAGTGGCAAGAACAGGAGCAGACATGGACAGGGGGTCAGCAGGAGCAGGCTCTTCTGCAGCCGGATCCTCTGGGGTGAGATCTTCTGCAGCTGGATCTTCAGCGGCAGGATCTTCAATGGCAGGATCGTCAGTAGTAGGAACCGGAGCAGACGTGGATGGTGCAGGACCCTCTGGAGGCAGCATGGGTCCTACAGCAGTTTCTGTAATGACCACAGGCTCGAGGCTGGCTGTGGGCTAAGGGCTGGCTGTGGGCTAAGGGCTGGCTGTGGGCACAGGGCTGGCTGTGGGCTCAGGGCTGGCTGTGGGCTCAGGAACTGGGACCGAATCTCTGTGTAGTGAACTAGACCTCCGACCACAACCTGTCTCCGAAGACCTTCGTGGGACAGGAACTGTTATTTCATTGATTTGAATCCAGAAATACAAATTAGCTCATCAAGAGACTGTTTAATAGTATCCTGAATTAATCAATTGAAAGAACACTCTTCTTTTTGATAATCAAAGTGTGTTTAGTTCATACCATTTCTAAATGTTGAAGTGAACCACTCATTTTAAATCAACTGTGAAACAGTATTAATGATTTTTAAACCTCATTTAAATTAGAAATCAAGTTAAATGTCTATTTACAAAGTAATTATGCATTTTGATCTTCTGCTTGAATGAGGAGTAGTGATGTCGGTCGAAAGTCAGAGATAGTCAGAAAACGAGTTATTAGAACGAAGTGTCTTGTTTTTAAACCTAGCAGACGATAAAAAAGAAGCAACTGGCACTTGATTCCTCTTGTAGTGAACTAAGCCTGATCTCAAAACTTGACCTTAGGATCATATGGTCAGAAACTGTCATTTCATTGATTTGCATCCAGAAATACAGGTTGACCCATCCTGAGACTTTCTTTCTTGAATTAATCAAGTGGAAAAAGACAATTCTCTATGATCATTACTATTTTACAAATGTTTTGATAATCAAATTGTGTTAGTTCAAACAATGTTTACATGTTGAAGTGAACTACTCATTTTTATTTACTTAAAACAGTAATAATGATTTTTAATCCTCATTCAAAGAAGAAATCAGGTTAATATGCATTTCTTGATTTTCTGTCTTCAATGAGCGAAGTTGTAAGTGTGTCGAAGTTCAAGTTTCGGTCAACTGAAAGTTTACTGAAAAGAAATGTCATGTTTAACTTTTACAGCAAGATACTAGGAGAGGTGGCTCCGCAAAGTCTGAATTCTCCATAACAATCTTTCTGTCTGTTCTTAAACAATCTTAATCTTTTTCCTTGACTTTTCATAACACCTTACATCATAAAACACACCTCTGTTTGGGTCCATCGACCAATCAGAAGCTGTCAAATGAACCGGAAGTAGAGCCCATTTAAATGTTGGCACTTCCTAGTTCAAAGAGAGTTTTTGGAGTTCCAGAATGCAGAACGCTGGAATTCAGGATGCTGCTGAAAGAGAATCAAGCTGAACCAGAGACGATTTGGGAATTATAACTTCTGTTTGTATAACCTCACGACTCCAGGGGTTTTTAGCTGTTCTCACGGAGACGCTGAAAGAGTTGAAAGGAGAGCTCTACACCAACGCTGAACTATCTTCTGCAAGGTAAAAAGTTCTATCTCAACCAAGCGTACCGTTGGCCCAAGCTGATTTCCAAAGGAGCGTGCTGTTCTGGTTAAAACAGACAAATTCCCTCACACATCTCTCTGTAGATAAACCTCATCTTTCCATCTTTAAACTCTCCTATCTGCTAGCAAATTAATCTAGATGTTTTCAGAAATGTCTGTGGTGAAGCAACGGAAAATCATGGCCGTATGGTTTTCCTGGTTGTAAAGCTGATTAATTATGTTGTTATTTTTCAATTCTTGCCAATTAATGTAAATGTGTGATGTGTTAAACTTGATTCTGTTAATAAATGACCCACTCGTTTGGTGAGTCAAAGATAATTAATGTCTCACTTCCACATTTTATTAAATTCAATGCACGTATGTTATACAGTCCAGAAAAATGAAAGAACCCGTTTAATTGATGAATATATCTCAGGATATGTCCTATTACACTCTCACTTCTTCAAAACATTTTTCTGTCTGTATTTAACGTTCCTAAACATTCCTACTGTCTTTTTGACTTTTAATAACCCTCTGACATCACTGAAACACCCCCCTGTTGGTTGTTTCAACCAATCAGGAAGTACCAAGTGACCGGAAGTGAGGACTCTTTAAAAGTTTTACTATTGAGGCCTTGAAGGCCAAAGAAGAGCACATTAAACAGAAAATAACTATGTGTCTAGATCAGACCACACTTCAGCAAGTGTTGGACTGTACAGATCAGGCACGCTTAGCACAGCATGTCAAGTCCAAGACTCGACAACAAAATAAGTTTAACTTACTAATAACTCATCAACACCATCACTATTCCAATAACAACACATTCAGTGTAGGACAACACTCCAGTAGTCAATTACATGCCAGGTAGACAGAAAAGTGGGTGAATAATTTATCTGACAGACAGCTCACCCAGCCGGAGACAGAGATTCTTGCCAGGGGACTGAACTTTGCGGTTGCACCAAGTACAATTCCTCTGGTGGAGATGATCATAGCCACAGAATCAGCCATCCGCAACAACAAAATGAAAGAGGGTGAAGCAGAACAGCTCAGAATCAAAGTTTCATCCTGCCTCTGCAATGCCAAACCACCACCTTCCAACATCAGTAGAGAGGAGAGGGATGCACTCACCACTCTTATCAAGGACAAAAACATCATCATTCTCCCAGCAGACAAAGGAAGGTGCACAGTGATTTTGAACCAGAAAGACTATCATGAGAAAGTTATGACACTCCTTAGTGACTTAACCACTTATGAACCTCTGAAAAGAGATCCAGGAAGTGGTTACAAGAAGAAGTTAATAGATTGCCTGAAAAATTTGGAGCAGGACAAGGCTATTGACCGTATTCTGTACCACAGACTGTACCCAGGGGAGGCCACACCTAGTCTGTATGGTTTACCTAAAATCCACAAACAAGGTGTACCTTTAAGACCTATTTTCCAAGATGGCGCCGGTGTGTAGGGCTGCCCGTCTCTCGCTCTCTGCTTGTATTTTATTTGTGTTATTTTTCAATGGTTTGTGCAGTGTGCCGAGTCATATTTTCAGTATGATCGTCGGGCACTTTTGGAGCTCTGTACATTTGCTGAAATTCCCGCGGAGTTTTTGAACAGCGGCCATCACTCTCCCCCACCGGTCCTGTCTGAGATTCCTGCGTTCCTTCTGCGTGACCCTGGCCTTTCTCCATGGAGGAAACGTCGCAGACGTCGTGGGAAGCGTCAGCAGCCCTGTTTAGTTGATCTTTCAAGTCTAAACCAGTTTAAAAGACTACCATTTATTTTTATTCTTGCTATCAGCTCTTGATATAATGTTTTGATGGACGAAACTGAATGCGAGTTTAAACCGCACCGT